TAGTTAAATCAACTCTTCTTGAGGGAACTTTTGTTGTAAGTTCTTTACTTGTACTCTGGTTTCATTACTCGTTAGTTCTATTCTGAGTGTGGGCTTGCATGTAGAATTAATGTTTCCGTTGTCAATGTACCTTGTACCCTTGTGTTATATTCTCACATTGGTCTTCAATGTGCAGGGAATAGTGCTTCTTATCATCCTGATATCAGGACTCATGTGTATGATGGGAATCGATACTCCCTCGAGGTTTGAAGCTCCCCAGGAATCTTGATCTCCCGTTGAAGCAGAATCTGGGGATTTGACGAGGCAGAGTGAAGGGAACGATGTTTGTCGGTCTGCACCGTAGATATTGTTTAGTTTGCCCTTTGAAAGTGCCTTGTGTATTTTACTGAGCCAACTGTTATTTACAATGTGCTCAAATTTTGTGTGTAATATTACGTTTCATGTCTACGGACATCTAGCTGAGCCATTGCAAACAAATGCATGTGTGACTGAGGCTTGTGCTGTACTAGACATAGCATTGCCTCCAGTGTTTTCTGTGAATAACCTGAAATTCAGGTAACCAATAAGATGGGTACTATGCATCAAATAAAATGAAATCTCGCTATTTGTTTGAGCAGAATCAGATGTTGCTGTACTTGAACCTGTGCCACATCTATTACGTATTGTGCCTCAACTAAAACTGTAAACTGTTGGGGTCCCTGTTGTCAACATCCATGAACAGGGCCGTCTGGTACTGGGGTACTGCAATGCATTGATCCTCTGCATGTGTAACGCGCAGGCTGATTGGCATTGATCCTTGTACCTGATGAAACTTCTTGCTTATATTTTCTATATCTCGTTACTGTTCAAGGCATGTCTGGGCCCCACCTGCGCATGCCGTTTCTTTTGTTTACCTGCTAATGAATCAACAGGTGCTACTACTAGACCATTTCAGTCGAACTACTTGGCTGATTAGGACAGAAACTAAAAGCCATTTTTGTAGCTTTCACTTGTGCGGTTACTGTCATGGCAGCCTTACCGCGCAAGTCAGGAGCCTTATCTGCTTCTCAAAACAGGATCCAGTCCAGTCTTTCCTGTGGTCAATTTGTCCTTTATGCCGTGACTCGAAGTCGGTCGCCTGTCTTAGCTTAGCACTAAAGCACCAAGAAATTTGTGGCCCCTGCATAGATAAAATGTGCACATCTTTTTCCTCGTTGATGGAGGTAAATGCAACCGGGATAACTGCGTATATGAAATGTGGCTCTTGCATGTAAATGAAGAACAAGAGAAAAAAAAATCTTCCTTGCTTTTTCTGCTAGAACTTTTTGTTGCTCTTTTCCTTCCAGTTGTGCAACTTTTTTGTTCGTAGCTGTTTCATTTGTTGACCAATCCTCACGTACCAGCGCTACGGCTTGCATTTTCCACTTGTTCATTCAGTAGCTACTAGAACACGGCAATAGACCCATCGTCCTCCCATGCTTGCAATCTCTCTCTGATTGACACAAACCGGTTTGAAAATGACGCACAGACGAAAGCAAAATTGTTCAAGTCTATGCATGTGCATTTTCGTATGGTCGGTGCTGACGACGATGGCGACATGCATGCTGGCCATACACAGGCTGCCAGATCAGCTCGTGTTAGGCTCTGAGGAACCATGCCGGGCGAGTCGCCTGCAAAACATTGCGTGTAAGGAAGGCCGTGGCAGAAATATGATCGATTCCTAATAATATATATGGACGGGATGGATCGACACGGAGTTTTTATAGAAATTATTGTGAAGGTACACAGGTACGTAGTGATCACTTCAGAGTAAAGAGATCACACTTCAGTCTCCAATGGGGAAGTCCGATGTGTGTGCTAAAAAACTTGAACTTGCTCTAACATATTTTAGAGAAAAGTCCATTTTACAACTCAACCATTAGCTACGAAAGCATTCACACCTTAAGAACGTCGACTCCAAATTAGAGTGGTTTTCAGTGACATGACCAATGCATCTTTTATTTTCAAATTTATAAACCGCTTTAAGATTTTGTAATAACTTTCACAAACACTTTTTTTATAAGTGAAATAAATAATATAGTAGTATTGCAAAAGCATGTTAGCGCATAAAACCAAATTAAACCCTTTTCACTGTGTTGACAAAAAGTCCATACCAAATTTAGTTAGGTTTTGGATAATCCTATTTGCAATTGAAAATTTTTAAAAAGCGAAATCATTTATATAAATTAAAGTATCAGGGGAACCATGACAAAATTTGGCAAATTAATATATTTATTTATTTTACGTCTCTAAAATAATATCATATGCAAATTAACTCTCAATTAAAAAAAACAATTTGCTCTAGAGGAAATTACATCTTAATTAGGACACACTAGACTATTTAATATCTTTTCAAACGAAAGATATGCAAATGATGCTTTGTCTCAAATATATATGAATAATATAGTTAAGTTGTAGATAATATAGCACGATGGAAAATCTTTTTAAGTTATGCTATCAATTTATAAAATATATTATATTTAATAACTATTTCGGCTTTGACCGTGTTGCCACGTCGATGCTGAATCACCCACAAGCCACCTTAACATTGAAACAAGGTTAAAAAATGAAAGGTTTTAATAGTTGAGGAGTGAACTGTTTCATAGTCGAACCTCGACATATAACTATTTGCACCGGCTTTTGATGCTGGAAAGATATGCCCAAATCCAGGTATATACAAATAAAGGCGGTTCAAAGCAGTTCAATTTTCCTTGCACTTTTCTTCAGCCGTATACATATGCTATGCAAGCTGACGGGGTTTGAAAAGTTGATTCCAGTACGTTAATACCACTTTAAGATGATTAATAACCCTAGTGGAAAATGGCATGACTCCTCACTACTGTTTTCAGGTTTCTCTCACACGACTTTTGATCAACAATAGCCAATAGGTGTAAACACAGTTTTGTGCACGGCATCTGTATAAAACAATGTACTATATTATTATATATTATTGTACGTTGGCATTTGGCAACCAAACCAGCCAAGTCATTACGTACTCCATCCAGCCCAATTGAGCAGCTGCCTAGGAGAAGGAGACCATAGTTAGCAAATGATGAGGTCCTCAAGGACTGCATGCTCAAGTCACATGCATGCATGAATCATGATGACAGTTGATCCATGCATGCATGACAGCATCTGTGCAATCCCAAGGCCTTGTTTAGATCCTGGTTAGAAATCAGTATTTGACACTGTAGCACTTTCATTTGTATTTGACAATTATTGTCCAATCATGGTTTAACTAGGCTTAAAAGATTCATCTCGTAATTTACAATCAAACTGTGTAATTAGTTATTTTTTATCTATATTTAATACTCCATACATGTGTCCAAAGATTTGATGTGATGGAAAAAGAGTGAAAAAACTTGCAATCTAAACAAGACCCAAGCCAAAGCCAACATATGGATCATGGATCGATATACGCTGGCATGCATTGGCTAGCAGCTGTCACATATCACATTTTTTATCATATATATCTATATATGTATCTAGCTATCTACGCGCTTTCTGTGGTGATCCCTCCATTATTATATTTTCATGTATGTAAAAGCTAACGAGAAGCATCAAGCAGTTTGATGAATGGATGGAGCGTGTGACGTCACAACGTGGACTGGGGCTGGATGCGCCGTCCAACATGCCTGCCTGCACGGCGTGGATGCTGCACCATGCACTGCACGTGATCTTCTGACATGATTAGCTTGCACCAAGCTGTGTAGCACGCATCAGCATATCCAGCAGGGACGTCGCCACGCACTAGCTCCCATCCCATTACATTCTGACTTGTGTGCCAAGGTACGCAAGCCTTTGGCTTCGTCTTTAGTTAATTAGTGACAGAGATCCAAATGGCTTTAATTAATACATATAAGATCTGTCATACATGCTGTGTACTAGTAGCAACTAAATTTAAGTCTTCTGAGGATTATTCTCTCGACACCCCTAGCTTAATTTACTTGAGAGAGAGAGAGAGAGAGAGAGAGAGAGAGAGAGACTTTTTGCCGTTCTTTAATTTCCAAGGTACCAAGATTGCAACTTTGGATTTTAAATTTAATATATATACACATGGGCACCGAAAAGCGCACCAAATTGCAGTGGAAGGCTTCGTCTTTAGTTAGTGGTATGTAGACTTAAGCCAGGTTCAGCATGATTCATCCGGCTCCGGCTCCTTGCTATGGTGCTTGAGGGAGTTAGAGCCAGTTAAGCAAAAAAAAAAATAGTGGTTTTATTGGATCCTAATTTATTTTGAGAATATATAGATATAAAAACGACTTATTGCTACAATATAGCTATAGTGCGCGGAGGAGCTGAAGCTGGATGAGACTCTACTAAATGGGGATTAATTTAAATGGCTTTCGTACTCTAGGAATCAAATTAAAATCTTTTTTTATCACGTTTCCTATAGTAAAGATGCCTGAAATCAAGGATTGAGAGAAAGATCGAGAGGAAGAGAAAGTAGGCGTACAGTGTTGGTTTTCTTGATGGATGGATTTAAGATCTAATGGCTACTATTCATCGTCTGATCAGGTATCTGAGAAATAGCAGCTCCCTTCTTTGGGAGGCACCAAAATTACAGCTAGCTAGGATTTTGATATATACACAAAGGCACCGAAAAGCTAAGGTACCTTATGTACCTCCCAAGAACTAGAAAAACAATTGAGCCGTGCAGTATACCACGTAATATATAAGTGGTTTAAAAAAAAGATATATAAGTGTGTTCTTCCGATCCACAATTTTGGTTTAGTACAAAAGACATGTAACATATGTATCCGGCAATGATATCAAAACTATATATAGCAAGTTCCAAACTATGTGTCACGTATAAAAGTATATATATGAGCACCAACTAATAATAAGGAATAAATCCTCACCAACTAACGGAATCACTGTTACTCATCGTCCTCTCGCTACCAGACTAATTAATGAATCAAGCAACCAACAAAACTGCCACACAACTACTAACACAATCCATCACTAAATTTTCAGCAGCATTACTTGCTTGTATGGTAACCTGCAGCATAATTTCCCCCGTAGTTCCAAGCAAGCCTCTGCTGCAGCAGAACATTCTGGGAATTATGTTGCGCAATTCGGCCGGCCGCCGCCACCGACGAACTCGGCAAACCAGCGGCGAAGTTCGGAGAGGTTACGCCGCCGCCGCCTAGAGCTTTCGCCACCATTGCCTGGTGGTGCAAGCTGTAGTTCGTCCCCATTGCTTGTTGGTCTGGCGCATGGCGAAGCATGTTCCAGGAGGAGCTGTCGTGGTTGTTCGTTGCAGTTGCTGCTGAGTTGGCCACGGCCGCCACGTGCTGTGAGTTGCTGGCGTCAGTCGGCAGGCCGACGAAGCAAGTACTCGTAGTCGTCGTCAATCCAGCGTTGGCGATGGTGGTGGTGGTGTGAACAGGATACAAGTCCGCGTTGTACGGCGGCGCTGCGGCGCTGATGGTCGTCGTCGTGCTAGGGGGCAAAGGCAAGCTGGAGTTGAAGTAGCTGGAGTAATCCAGCAAGGAGTCAACGAGGAACTCGTCGCCTTCAACGGCCTCGACGGAACTGACGTTGGGCGTTCCGGCGGAGGAGTAGTTCTCCTCGCCGGCGGCGGCCTTCTTCGTACTGCTGCCCTCTTCGCCCCCTTTGTGGTGCACCTTGCACACGACCCATTCATCCTGAACAAGCAAATTAATTAAGGAGAAAAATTAAGGAAAATTGAGTTGCTAGCGCTTGACAAAACTGCAAAAGGCACGATTTTTCAACACGCGACCAAGAAGAAGTTGTGTTGTTGAAGGAGCAGTAGAACTGAACCACACGTTAATTACTACCTTGGGATTGAAGCGTAGGGAGTCGTTGGTGTGCCTGGACTTGCCCTCAAGGCGGAACTCGTGCATCACCCAGTTGGTCTTGGTGCCCCGCGGAGCCCTGCCCATGTAGAACACCAGCGTCTTCTTCATCCCCACCAACTCACGGCCAGGCTGCTTGAAGATCTCCCTGTCCTTGCCCGTGGCCTTCCAGTAGCCCTCCTTGGTGGCGCGGTTCGCGCGCGTGCCCGTCGGGTATTTCATGTCCTTGTGGCAGAAAAAGTACCACTCCTTCTCACCCATCTTCGCCTTGCCTAACAAGTGGCAATATAAATGGGGAAAAACATAGAAACATTACATATAGCTCAAAATCATCTATCTAAAAGAAAAAAACAAATGAAATCAGTATATATGTATGTAGCTTACTTGGGAGATCCCATGGCTCGCACTTGTTGAGATCCACCTCCCCGATGGCGTGCGGCGCGAAGCTAGGGTTCAAGAACTTTTGCAGGAGGTAGCTGGTGATGACCTCTTCATCTGTGGGATGGAACCTGAAGCCAGGAGGCAGGAACAGGTCGACTCCATGCTCTGATTTCACACTACGCTCCACCATGGCCGATCTCTTGAAGCTCTGCTACGGACCACTGCGGCTTGACTAGGGGGAAAAAAGCAGCAGAGACAGAGAGAGAGCTAAGCTTTCTAGAGGAGGAGGAGGAAGCTTGTGGGCACAAGAAAGGTGGAGGGAATCAATAGAAAGGGAGAAAGAGAGGAGGAAGCCAAGTTTTATAGTGCTGTGGTAACCGAGACCTGATCCTTGCTCTGGAAGAGGCTGCCTCCAATGGCTTGCCTAGTAAGGAAAGTCTTCACACGGTTTTGATTAATTAGGACAAATAAATATACTATTATTGAGCTAGGTCTAGTTAACTGCGTATCAATTGGCTAGGTCTAGTTAATTAAGCCATCATGCGTGGCCATGGGATCAGAATTAAGATGTGTCAGGCCTTGTTTAGATTCCAAGTTTTTTCACTCTCTCTCCATCACATCAAATCTTTGAACACATGCATGGAATATTAAATGTAGATAAAAAAATAACTAATTACACAGTTTGATTGTAAATTACGAGACGAATCTTTTGAGCTTAGTTATGCTATGATTGGACAATAATTATCAAATACAAACGAAAATGCTACAGTACTGAATACTGATTCCTAACAGCTATCTAAACAAGGCCTCAATGTGTCATCAGATAGATAGTATATATGGTGATTTAGTTTATCGCCCTGTTCTCTTGAACTTATCAGCCGTACCGTTTCAGCGAAATAACAGTATTTTTCTCTCACAATAAATCAGCATCAGCATCAGTATCAGCATTTTTCCAGCCAGCCGAACAGGGCCTATAGCTTTTACAGATTTGTCTTTTTTTCTACAGTGAGTGTGACAGCTATTTACAGCTGGGGTGGGGTACTAACTGAGTAATTGTCACAAAGGCTTCTAAAGTAGGCCACATGACCCATATTTTTTAACTTTTAATCATAGTTTGTTGTAAAACATCATTATGCATACAATCACTACCCAAAACAAAAAATTTCCCGTCGGACTAGACTAATCCTGGGTGGCACACTCTGCCACTGGCAAGTTCGGTTTCCCTCATGGTATGTCACCAACGGTGAAGACAATGACCTGGGCTGTTTGATTCAGGGACTAAAGTTTAAGAGGTATCACATAGGGTGTTATATTGAGTGTTCGGATAGTAATAATAAAACAAATTATAGAAGTCATCAGTTATCCACGAGACGAAATTATTAAGCCTAATTAATTCATCATTAGCACATATTTACTGTAGCACACATTGTCAAATCATAGACTAATTAGACTTAATAGATTCGTCTCGTAAATTAGTCTTAACCTATGCATTTAGTTTCGTAATTAGTCTATATTTAATACTCCAAATTAGTGTCTAAACATCCAATGTGATAGGAACTAAAAATTAAGAGGGAAACCCAAACAGAGGCGACATGGAAAAAAGTTCAATTTTTCCCTGACGGTACACCAACCGATCAACAGGGAAGAAATTCGTGACGATACATGCAAAAATGTCAGAAAAAGTTTTCCATGACAGTAGAAACCATCAGGGTTTAGTCCATGATGATCACCAGGATAGATTTTCCCTAATAGTGAGACAGTAACGGGACATCCCTGACGGGCACTGTCACGCAAAACAGCATTCCTGACGGTTTCGGGCCCTTTTCCTAATGGTTTCGTCCATCACAGAAAAATTGTCAGTGATAGTGACTGCATGCTGGAAGTATTTATTGATCGATTGATTAGTAAAGGAAAATCTATTGAATTCCTCGCATCACAATAATTAGTGACGCTATATGTGTCATGGAGCCTATTGCTCCACCTTCGGTGACACCCACCTTCATGAATTTCTATGTGGTTTAGAGTTAGGGTTTTAGTTTGGATTAAGGACGTATGGATTTTTGCGTTCCTTCTAGGCCCTATGGCTTATAGCTTCAGTGTTTGGGGAAGTTGCTAGATTGGTGCTGGATGCGGGAGGACAGTATGGTTGTGGGTCTGGTAGGGGAGGGACAGGGGGTTGATTGGATTGGGGATGGCCATGGTTGCACTCTAGAGTGGCTAGTTAAGGTTGATTGTGGTCGGACAAGAGGGGATGCACACAACATTGAGATGAAGACATTGGATGACAGACCCTCGCCAAATGGAGTTGGGGATGATGATGGTGAGCCAACAGGGAAGGTGTGTAGGGTGGTTGTGCAGAAGTGGAACACAAAATGGTGGCATCGGCTAGCAAAAACAATAGGGTTTGGGGTTTGGGCAAACCTTTCTGTACAAAATAAAATTGATCCCGGCCGTTGACTGAAGATTGGACGGATAAGGAACTATCAAAATTTAGTGAGACAATTAACTACTACCTTAGTCCGGCAAGGAGTGTCATTCTATTTTCCTAATAAGTCAAACAATCTGAAGTTTGACTAAATTTATGTGAAAACATACCAATATCTATGATACCAAATTAATATCATTAGATTCAACTGAAAAATATATTTTCATAGTAATTTTTTCGTGTCATAAATGTTGACTACTTTTATCTATAAACTTGGTCAAACATAAAAATTATTTTGACTTAGGACAAAACCAAAACCTTAGGGCTTGTTCGGCTGGCTTAAAGCCAGCCAGCTGGCTTGTTTTTCCTCTCACATAATCACTGTTCACGTCCTGCCAGAACAGTATTTCTCTCTCACAACAATCAGCCGGAACAGTATTTTTCAGTCCTGCCGAACAGGCCCTTACTCTTTAGGAGATGGTAAGTATTTGCCATCTTTACGGGTGAGTGCCAACAAATTTAATTTGACACTTGAGTGGGTGATGTGAGAGGGTAACCGTCATCACTGTGCATTGGTAAAAAGAATCAAATGCCGCTGCCCGCAGTCTCAGCCGACTAAAAAACCGTTTTTTCTTCCCTTCCCTTGAATTTTTCTATACACAAAAGAAATTCTAGTTTTGGGACGTCGATGAAGGCCTTGTTTAGATTGCAAATTTTTGCAATCTGGACACTGTAGCACGTTTCGTTTGTATTTGACAAACTTTGTCCGATCATGGACTAACTAGACTCAAAAATTCGTCTCGTGATTTATAACCAAACTGTGCAATTAGTTACTTTTTTACCTACATTTAATGCTCCATACATGTATCCAAAAATTGATGTGATGGAGAGAGAGTGAAAAAACTTGGAACTTTGATGTAATCTGAACAATGCCGAAGTTTGTCCAGGTCATTCACACATATTTTTAGTCAGGTATACCGGTAGGAGATGGTGATTTTTAATTCGATCATTAATTCATTATATCAGATGTTTCGGCAACTGGTGGGGGTTCGGCTTCTTGGTAATTGCCATCTCTTTTGACAAAACTGAGCACGTCGGTGTCACTCTCAGCCCGAATTCACTGCATGGGCGGATTCCTTCTTTGCCAAGAGGCGCCTGCAATATTTTATATTTTTTATATTGTGCCTGGCCAAGAGGCGCCGGTAGAGTTGACAAATACGTACATGACTGATAGAGTGACGACAGATGGGATCTTTCCCTTGTTGATGGTGGTCAGAGATAGCCTGAGCCCTCGTATAGATCCATCCAAAATTACAAAAAGTGCTACAGTACATATCACATCGAATGTTTACGGCCTATGCATGGAGCATTAAATGTAAACGAAAAAAAAACTAATTACACAGTTTGGTGGGAAATTGCGAGACGAACGTTTTGAGCCTAATTAGTCCATGTTTGAACACTAATTACTAAATAAAAATGAACGTGCTACAATAACCCCAAATTTTAAATTCTTGAAGCTAAACACGCGCTGAGTGATGGAATGACGGCTGTTCACACAGGCCACCATGAAACTGGTCACTTGGTCAGCATGGGATTCCACAGAACCTCATCATGTACTAGGGCACGTGCATGCATGCTGTAGCTTGGTCCAGAGTGTACAGTGCTTGTACGCACGCGCCGTCCATCTGCCAGGATGATCTGGCTGGCCCCGGCCAGCCGGACGGTGGTAGTTGTACCGGTACGGTGTGCTATTGGATAGATTTGGCGGCCAGCCGGCGCCGGAGTCGTTCAAAGCCGATCTTGACCCGTCCAGCTAGGCTTGCTAGCTAGATGGACAGATGATATATGATGATATGATAAGCTCATTTCCGTACATCTGTGGAAAGTAGTAGTAGTTGTTGGCATAGTTTTTTTTGCTGACTACTAGTGTCAAAAAGATGTGAAATATCTATAGAAAGGGGCCAGATCACACAGTTCTTCTTTTAGGAAAAAAAATCCAACGGATAACAAAACCTATTAGAATTATTGGACTATATATACAGGACAAAACCTATTAAAATTTGCTCCCGAGCCCTGAAAGTGACCTCCCTTTGCTGACGGACACCGAAAATAGAGCGATTTCCTGGACACTTTTATTGTTACCAAATTTGATGGAGGACACCAATGCATTAAAATATTCATTTCTGGCTTATTAGGAAGTGATAGAAGAGTGGTGAAATGTCCTTTTTTGCCCCTTTCTTCTTCCTCCTCTCTCTCCCTTTCTTTTCTTTCTCACCGGCGGCAGTAGTGCTGACGAGGGCGAGAGGTGGAGATGGATGGGGGAGCGAGGAGCGCAGGCACCGGCGACACGAGAGGAGGCAAGCGCATAGGCCGCCTCCCTCCACACAAACCTCGCTACCGGTGAGGTGCTCCGCCATAGGTTACTGCTCCTCGCGGCTAGACTTGCGCTCTGCGCCACCGCTTGGCCCGCCGTCCTCTGGGCCTGCGCGAGCACGTCGATCTGCGCACACGCACCCCGCCACCATTCACGCAGACCCGCACTAGGGCTTGCTCGTAGCCGCTCGCGTAGACCTACGTCGGGGCTCACGCCTCCGCTCCGCTTGGCTCACGCCGGGTCCCACGCGCCACCGCCCTTGTCTGGCCTCGTCGTGCCGAGTGCAGGCACCGGTGCTCCCTTGTGCTCCGCGACTCCTTGCCACCGCCCTCGTCTGGCCTCGCTGCGCCAAGCGTAGGTCCCGACCGACGTCGGTGAGCCGCGGGGGAGA